CAAATACAACGTTGGTGGAAAGTATATTGATAGGTCCAGGCAGTATCTCGTGGATACAAGTAGAAGGAAGACCATCAGCAGCACATACTTTCAGCAAGAGTGAAATAAACTTGATGTTTCCTGACAAGATGTGGGCATATCTAATACATAAGCAAGAATAGTAATTTTTATCTTTGTACATATTGATTGTTAACACTGCATAAACTGATGAAGAAACCTTATTCTCAGATCTGAAGGAGAAACACAGAGCACTTGGACTAAAAGGATTGAAAGTATTAATTTAAAACAAACCAATTTAAAAACAAACACTGATTTTCATTGAGTTCATAAAGCAGATTAAGTTACTTTACAGTTCTCAGAATATAGTGCAATCTCTACTAAAATGCATTACATTAGAGCTTATAGTTTTAGGCACTCAGAACAAATGTTATTTCTCAGTTTCCATTACACAGCAAAGTTTGCTGAAATATTGCAAAGATTTCCCTCCTAAAAACAAGTAACAGGATAAAGCAGAGATCATGATAAGTAGACACAAAGAATTAACATCACAAAACCATCACTGGTATTTTTAGCAGTTAATCACGCTTAAAATATGAAGGGAGTGACACTGGCTTAAGATTTTGGTGCCAATGAAAACAGCTACCCTCAGTCCAATAAAGCCACTCTGAAGTACTTTAAAAATTCATGGCGTATATACTAATGCCAAATATTCCATATCCTTATCTAATGGTTGAAATACGTTGCCTTAGCTTAATAAGGAACCTGTGGGTAAAAACAAAAAAGAAAGGCAAAACTATTAGGCATTCCTCAAATACGAGTGAGTAGTTGTAAGAACATGGGAGAACAAGTGGCCTTGAGGAAAGTAACCTTCCCAAGAGCTCTCCCAACTGCATAGAAAAAGATGCTCTTCAGCCTGTGTTAAGTAGTAAGGAAGAGGTAAGGTGGGGGAAGACAACAATTTACTTTTAACATCTGCATATAGCTGAACCACTCTGTACTGCGAAGTACACTTCAGAGAGTCTGAGGGCTTATGCACTAAAGGCACACATGCAGATTTTGGCTGACATAATTGCTTCCTTGTATGTTTTGCTTGGCTACTAGCAGTTAGATTAAAAGAATATTTTCATCTTCCAGAAGACAGGCTTTTATCTTCAGCAAACACTTGTCAATTCTGGAGGGGAAGAACAGAGGAGAAAAATCCAGATGGACCAGAGGGATGAACACAGTTTATCCATAGGGTAATCATATTACTGGTAATACTGAGCTCATTAAAAATGCTCATCTAAGTACAAAAAAATTAAGATTATTTGATAAGGCTTTTACATACAAGTGTTTGGACAGGAAAGGTATTTTTTCTTTCCAAGATGAAGCCTAACATTTGGTATGAGGTCCACACAGCTCAGCAGTATTTAACTGTCTAAATCTTACTGATTTTACTGGTGAAAAACCATTAAGTGCTTAACCTTGCATGGATGCCATCACAGAACTTGTAAAATGCTAGTGCCATAAATACATTTCCTTAAATAGTATGCATCTCTTGGGATTTTTCAGTTTTCTCCAAAGTGCTAGCAGACAAGCTTCTTCCAAAAGTTCCACCTGCAAGAGAAGAAAACAATTCTAAAAATAAACCTAAATAGCAAAATTAGTTTTAGGATGAACAAGCCAATTAAAAAGTTATCAGATGCTCTGAAATGGAAAAAAAAAAAATGGCACAATCACATGACGTGGTTGCCGTGCATTGCAAGTTTAGCATGTGAAATCTAAAGGAGAGGAACTAAAAATTCAGCTGGTACTCATTAAAAGGATGGACAAACTGACAAAATCACATCACAGTGGAAAGTACACACAACTTCGAAAAGGATACTAGGAATGGAAAATGTTACACAGCTTCAGTGCACCAGTACCTTAAGTTTTTGTTTACCCAGAAGCTTACAATAGATGTGCAAGAGCTCAACTCAAAATTTTGACTTCAACTTTCAGCTGTATATCTACTACTGGTTTTTTATGTGCCGCTAAGCATATTTTAAACTTAACTGATGAAATGGAGTCTGCTAAGAACATGGACCTTGGAGACATGGAGAAGACATGCTACAACTTCAAATGATGCAGCCAGCAAGACACTAGGCTAAGCTGAAACACTGTAGGGGTCACTTAAGAAAATAGTAAGAACATGTCAGTTTAGGGGAAAAAAGCCCTGACGGACAGTAGCAGTGAACACAAGCAACCAGCAATATTACATCATGGAGGTACCGCCCAACCCAGGCATTCCATCTCATACAGAAACTCTCAGTAACAGCAGTTAAAGTCAGGCTACAAAGCACAAATCTACTGCCTTCAAATGCCGGAACAAACCTCTGCTGGCAATAGTTAAACACACATTTGTGTCTGCCTCCTTCCTCTGCATCTGAAGATCTGAGCCAAATTCTCCAAAACTACATGCTTATAATCATAAATTTATTGGCTGGAGGCACAGGAGTCTTAAATGCTGCTTATCTGTTCAGTTTCAGTAAATTAAGCTATAATAATTTATTAGAAGTCTGAAATAAGTAATTGAAGTAAAGGTCTAACTACTACCTGTTTATATGTGAGCAGCTTTTCATGGCAGTGGACAAAAACTGATTTAGAACCATGCTAGGGAACAGTATCATAGTCCTTCAAGCAAGATCTGTTTATTTTTTGCAGTGCACATCAAACAGGCCTGGCTAGTTTCCCAGATGATTTACAAAATAGTTCTGTTGGACTGGAGAGACCTTTACAGAGATTCTGCAGAGCCATTTCTCTGCTATTAGAACATTTGTTTTCAGAAAGGGCAATACTTTAATCCTAAGGGAGGTGCTACAATAAAAAGTTGCCATAGATGGACATTTAATTTTTTTATAGCTATACTATCATATCTCTCTAGAGAACAGCTTATTTTTCAATTAAAGTAGTAATGGTTTAAATTTAGAGAACAACTTTTAGGTGATTACAGGGAACATCTTTCTTATTTAGGAGAGGAAAGAAAAAATTAGAAAGAAAACTGGATTACAAAACATTTTTAGAGTGATTTCAAAAGATGGTTTTTTTTCTTTTTTAAAATCAAAGTGCATTGGAATTAACTTTATTTTTATATATGCCCTTTTCTTTCTATTTCTAATGTTTAAAGAGAAGATAACTAGTCTGCCTTTAAGTCAAAAAATCATATTATGAACAGTCTGATCATGCTACCGTTAGAGATATAGAAAGGAAAAAAAGAAATAGTCACAAGAGTAACAAAACAATTAGCTGGGCATGAAAATGCCAATGCAGCCAGTGAAGGAAGAGGTTATCTCCTATTGCATTTGGATAATATTGATTTTTAAAAAGGGAAGAAAGGAAAAAGAAACTATGCTAACAACAACAACAGAAAAAAACAAAACAAAAAAACTGAGCACCAGGACATAATTCTGAATCAGAAAATAAGAGTAAAGTTTGTCTTTCACTGACATCTGTAGATCCTTCACAGGTTAGAGTAGCAATTAGACAGCAGCCACTAGAAAGCTACGATTTGCCAAAATTTGCCACAGAAAAAGCAGCAAAACAAAAAAAACCAACCATCCTTACAGTCTATCATCTATCTCCAAGACAGGGCCAGCTGTATTTACACTGGTTTTGACAAGCATTTGTCCAGCCTGGTCTTACAAGTGTCCAGCAATAAAGATACGACAGCTTATTCCAACTTCTTAATTTTTGAAGCCTGAACTCCACCTCCTTGCAAATTAGCCTACTATTTATCTTCTTATCCACTGAGCAAAAAGAACAATTTACTTCATTACCCTCCACAGCTTTTTAAACATTTGGAATCACACCACATTTCCAAGTCTTTCTTCCTCTATGGCAATGGTTCCAAAAAATTGGGTATAATTTAATGATGAGGCACAGAGTCCAGACAAATACACTCTGCTTAGTTCAACAGTCATACCTGTGCTGCCAGTAAAGGCTGGAAGTATCCCATTGCATACCAGCTCTCTACTTTGTCTTCCTTTCTAAATTATATCTGTTTATTCATTAAGAAAACATTCTGTAAAGAAAAGGCCACATCTTGTACCTTGGCCTTTCAGAATTTAACCTCAAGACACTCGAGGGGTTTTGGGTCTATGTTACATTTTTAAACATACCCAATTTCCACCTGTGCATTTCCCTCTTATATTTGAAGTTACTGAGAGTTTGAAACTGGACTGAGCTGACACAACATGACTTTATCCTCTCTCTCAGCATACAGAGAGTTTGGCACTGTGCACTTTGTTCACTTTCTTCAAATCTAGTGCCTTTATTTTGTCACCCCAGAACGCCTTTCTTCCCCAAGGGTCAAGCTCTGTATTTTGAATCACGTTTGTGTAAAATCACCTTTCCCCTTCAGATTATCAGTGCATCATCAGTTAGAAGCAAACCATATTAACTTACAGGGTTTTTCCCCCCCAACATTCTTAACTGTTAAAAAAAAAAAACAACAGTAGTCAGGGGTGCATTGCAAAGCCATGCTAGACACATTTTTGACATGCTTAATGGTGTACCTCAAGCAATTCACTGAAGTTTAATGACTCACAAGAAAACCCCAACCTCCTGGCTTAGTAACCTACCATACATCCCTGCGATACGAGCATTTTCATGTGTCTCCATTCTTATTAGCCAAAGCTCCACTGATCTATCAGAGAAGCAGTCACCTTATACAAGCACACAGTACAGGACAGCAAGAATAAGGAAGAAGCACTGTAGTTATTCCAGTGATGCAGCTGTCAGCAGCATTTGTTTCTTTTGGGTAATAAGCACATTGCCACTAAATCTGAACCATCATTTATTGCCAAAAATTAATACGCAGATGTTTTATTTCTTGGACCAGTGATGCCACCTCCACAAAGTAGTTTTTATTTCAACATCTACTCTAATCACAAAGTCTAAACAAACAATTAGATAAGAATTTGGTGGATAATTTAGCCTTTACCAATTTATCACTAACTGAGTGATCAAATATAATTTTTGCAGACTTCTGTAGAAACTTTTGAAATTGAAAGGTGGGTTTTCATGCAGAACTGATACATTTTCAACTTCATTTCTCTTTACTGATTACCTTCACTTATTTCACAACATACCACTTTCAATATGAGTTCCCAATGTTTGATACCTGCAGTTTACTCTGAGCTTCTCCTCTCTTGCATCTCCTGTTTCACAGGCATGGCACGTGCTTCGCTTGCTTCCTGTTTCACAGGTGTGGCAGGCATATCACCATTGACGCTCTCCACGCCACTAACAGACATCAAGCTTTTCCGTTCTTTAGAATTCGATTTGTGCTCCACTTTTGTGACTCTAAACCTGAGGTGAGCAAAAGAAAGATTCAGTTGCATTTCCCCAGGGATTAGTTAGATTGTTCTCAGTACCCAGTGTACGGACAGGAACACATTTTCCGGTCCCAAGACCTAGACATCAGAGCAGACACCCACACGAACCCAGCTTCACTTCAGAGCAATCTTCCTTCCTGTTACCTACATGTACTTTTAATACTCACTACTGCTTAACCACACTTTCTCAGGGAACTGTGTTTTAAAGCAGAATCCACAGATTGTGTACTACTTCTTAGAACAGTAATTTTCTAAGACAACTACAACATAAGCTAGGAATTGAAAATAACAAAACAGAATGATGTGGTTTCTATAGCTCACACTTACTTGAGAAGTATCAAATTCAGAAACAGAGGAATTTATTAGTGTGCAATCCTTGTTTCTTTTTAGCCAGTATCAATAGAGCAATAACTTTGGATTTATACCCACAATAAATCCCCATCTATTTATAGTTCTAAAAAAAAAATCATATTTACTTCTTCCAGAAATAACTTTAGTCTAATAGTAACAGGGTTACAAAAAACAATCACTGATGCTATAAACAGAGTAGAATCAATGGATATCTGACCCAACACAGGCCACTGTAGCATCCCTAAGAAAAGTATACAATAAAATGACCTAAGTCTTACCTTCCCACAGAAAGGACTGTAACTTCTCCAAGACGACTTCTTCTGTGCTCTTTAGATTTGTGAGCTGGCTTTATAAGGTGCCATCGTTTGTGGCTACAACGAGTACAAACATCCTTTTCTACTACTCCTCCAACAGTATGGAAGTGATGGCCTTTGCAGCTGTGTTTAAATGGAACAGCACCAGGTGACAAAGGAGACTCTGGACTCACTGGACTCCCAGGAGAGGTAGGAGATAAAGGGCTGTAGGAAAAAGTATAAAGGAAATTGAATTTTTACTATAAAAACCTGTTTCTTAAGAAGGGAAAAAAAGGATAAAATATAACCTTCAGTTATGCCTAGTGAATAGCTAGTTTTTCCAGGGACCATTTATTTGTGAGGATGTCTGGTGTAAGGTTCCCTCCAATACCATATTTTTGCAGTTAAAAATCACTTCCGTAAATTAACTCAGCTGCAGTCATGTGGTTAAGGTAACTAACACAAAGGGCAAGGAAATGAAAAAAAATCAGGCTAAAATAGAAGAGAATAGGTTACATTAACTTATATTGATGAAGACATCTAATTAGCTGATTAATTTCACACTTGGAGAACTATGGAAACTATTTCAGAATTGTTACAGTATCTCTAAGAACTCACAGAAGAGCATAGTCCCACAATACTGCAAAGAGGCAAAACTGTCTGCCACAAAGAGAAAAGGAATCAACAGATCATTCAGCTTACGCTTCAGAAAAACGTTTTTTTAAAGTACATAGAAAGAAAGAAAAAGCAGTACAACCACCAAAAGGCATTTATTGAGAATATTTAATCAAATCTCTTCTAAAACAGAAAAGTAGATAGCATAGATAGGAACCAGAAGATGTACTTTTTTGGACTTCAGCATCAAATTTGACACTGTCTTGCAACACATTCTCCTAAAGCAAGCTAGAGCTCAGTGCATTAAAGGTGAAATTACTGTAGCGTGAGGTAGCACACCTTGGGGGGGGGGGGGAAGACAAACCAGAAGGTTATACATCAGTAGCTTACTATGAAACTGAAGACATACTCTAAATGTGGTTATTCTGGTCCTGATGATATTGAGTGTTTTAAATAGTTCCTTGGGTAATGGAATAGAAGAATAGCTAAAGTACTCATAAACTTTGGGTCACCCATAGTAACTGTAGAGGACAAGATAAGAAATTCAGATGATCAGAGGAGAGCATGTGTGTGGAAGACATTCACACATACATGAATCTTATGGGTAACAGGGCTTGTGCGGGAGGTTGGACCCCTTGGGGGGGGGGGGGAAGACAAACCAGAAGGTTATACATCAGTAGCTTACTATGAAACTGGAAAGACATACTAAATGTGGTTATTCTGGTCCTGATGATATTGAGTGTTTTAAATAGTTCCTTGGGTAATGGAATAGAAGAATAGCTAAAGTACTCATAAACTTTGGGTCACCCATAGTAACTGTAGAGGACAAGATAAGAAATTCAGATGATCAGAGGAGAGCATGTGTGTGGAAGACATTCACACATACATGAATCTTATGGGTAACAGGGCAGTAAGGGTAACAAGTTTCAGTGCTTTAGCAGAAAAACTTTACAAACCCAAATTAAAAAGCAACTAGCCAGATGATCATTCTTCAGAAAAAGAAGGTGAAGATCACAAGCTAAATGTGAATCATTATGATGGTGTTGCTTATAAAGGACAAATTTCACAGTGGAAATAACAGGAGTATAACCTGTGAACCTAAAGTTACATGACTCAGCATTAATCACGCCTCAGCTGATCGTTCCATCCAGTTTTAGAAATGTTATTTCAAGAAAAATACTAACAAACTGAAGAGACTCCAAAGGAGAACAGAAAGAACAAATTAAAGAAATAAAACATGCTGTAAAAGACTGGAGTTACTTGGATGCTTATTTTCAAAACAAAAATATTGACAGGAGACATTTAATGGTCTTCAAATAAATAAGAGAATGCTATTAAGGGAAATAAAATCTGTTCAACTTCTGAAGCAAAGACAGGAACTAATGGCTTTAAGTGGCAGAAGTGCAGATTTTACTTAGCCATTACTATTCCGATTGTTAGGAAGTGTTTCATAGTGCACCGAACTTAAAGAAATACAGTAGATTTGCACTTCAGTTACTAAAGCTTTAGGAGTATCTGTCAGAAATGACGTAAGAGCAAACAATCATTTTTCCATTCCCCTTTTTCTATTTTAATTCACCACTGAAACAATAGTCTAAAACATCCAAAATAACATCAGACATGCCTACACAAAAAGATTGAGTTAAAATTCAAACAAATATTTCTGCTGCACCATAAAAGTTTAAAAATAATCCCTATACTTAACTCTTTTTATAAGTTCAATTTTTTTTCTTCAATAACTAAGCCTCTCAGCATTAAAACAGGTGATAAACAGTTGCATACTCAACTCCCTGTTTTGCTAAAACTATACACTCCCACTTCTTTTATTAGTGACACAGTATTACTTGAACCTTCATCTTCTCTGCCTTGAATATGAACACAGGGTTACATATGAAGAGTATTTGAAGTAGTACAGATATAGTTTAAAGGTACTTATGTACAGATATAAGTACTTTTACACAAATGATGCATCTGCAACTCAAGGGCTGAACTTTCTCTGCATAGTTCTCTAAATAGGTGTGTAGTGAAAAAAATAAGAGGTAGGTCAGCCAACTTATATTATCAAAATTATAAAGAAAAAAGTAAACCAGAAGGAGACGTAGAAAGAGATGTCTATTTTAGGTTAGCATCCATACAAATGAAAGAAGTGCTGCTTCTGTTCTTTCAAGTTAGAGTAGCTTTGGACTAAGCCAACTTGTAAGTAACTTCACCCTGAAGCAAACAGGTATTTGCAGCCCCTGTAAATCTTTAGCCCAAAAAGCAATAAATCCGTATCATACACCTAGAACACATAACCAGAAGAGCCAGTTACTAACCCAGGGCATACATTAAAAATTAGTGACTCAGAGACACCACAAGGAAGTCAAAGTATTATCCTCTTAGCTGATAACTCAAGGAAGTGATGTAGTCTTAAAAGTGCTCAGGAAATAAAATCCTTTGAAAGGGTACGTTTTTAGCTGCCTCAGGAAACATGCATTAAAAAGTTGAGTAATTACCTTTCAGGTTCAAAGACACTGCTATCTGCTACCATGGCCTTTAACACATCAGCATTTGCTGCAATGAGAATAAACAGAACTCTTCAGAAGTGTACAGCTCTAACTTCAGGAAAAAAAAAACAGCAAAATTAAAGGTCCTCAAAGAAATTTCACCTAAAAGAAAGATGACTACATTATGTATATCTCCAAAAAGGCATGAGAGAAAATTATGGAAAAGAAGTGTTAATATAATTCTCTGGGATTTTCTTAACATGAGCTTCTAAAATTACAGTTCATATTGCACTCAAAGCTCTGCCCCCAATACAAGCTATATAACGTAGCCGTCTGCACAACACTCCCAAACAAGACCTCTAAAAATTTTAAAACATCTATTTGACCATAAGAGTATCATCACCTCACATGTATAAAGCAACTTCAGATTGAAAACAGTGAGCCCTACAAAACACAGATTAATTATCAGCCAAGAACTACCAATTGCTCATGTATTCTAAAAAACACATAGGGTACCTAATCCCAACCTCGAGGAAAAATACACAAGCTCAAAGCCCTAACAGTTATTAAGGAAAAAAACACAAAACCAACCCCACAAACAAACCCAAAACCACAACTTTTCCAGAGGACTAGTCTTCATTCAGAAGTAACTCAAAACCAGTTCAATGCTTAGGAGAACTTTGATTTATACAAATGTAAAATTAAAAGGCTAAAAGTTCTTGTTCTATTAAAACATGCAGTCTCCTAAATTTTTCTTATCATAGAATCATAGAATAGTTTGGGTTGGAAGGGACCTTTAAAGGTCATCTAGTCCAACCCCCCTGCTGTGGGCAGGGACATCTTCAACTAGATCAGGTTGCTCAGAGCCCCGTCCAACCTGACCTTCAATGCTTCCAGGGATGGGGCATCCATCACCTCTCTGGGCAACCTGGGCCAGTGTTTCACCACCCTCAGCAAAAAAAATTTCTTCCTTCTATCTAGTCTAAATCTACCCCCCTTTAGTTTAAAGCCATTCCCCCTTGTCCTGTCGCAACAGGCCCTGCTCAACAGTTTGCCACCATCTTTTTTATAAGCCCCCTTTAAGTACTGATAGGCTGCAATAAGGTCTCCCTTCTTCTACTGGGCAAATACTAACCAAGCATTCCATGGGCTGCTTAACTGTGATTTTATTTTTTCAGTTGTATCTTCTTCTTTATCCTTCACTTTGCACACACAGCACATGAAGATATCATGCGCAAAATTCAATGTTAGTGCTAGTCTACCCTATTGTCTCAGTTATGCATAAACCCTTCACCAGACAACAGCTTCAAGAATTGTTTCAAGACAAAAAGTTTAATCTGGTCAAAACATAAGAGTTTCACATGCTTTAAACATTGCCATTAAGAAAGCAGCCTTGAGCTTTTACTTCACAAACAAAACAAGAGGATGAACCAAAAAAATCAAACACCCAAATAGTTAAAATATCAAGAAATGCATGAACCAAACTTACTATACAAAATCATTTTCAGGTAAGCGAAAAACTTCCCTATTTTGCTTGAATTTATTGCCTTCTGAAGGCAATCTCGAAGAGTTAAGCATGTACAAAATGGTTATTAAATGAAAACACATGAACATACCATACTTCAGAATATCTGAAAAAACACATTTGTTATAGAACACCATCACAAAGACTTATAATTTCAATATCACAATACTATACCTTCATTTTTCATAATGTAGTTAACAATTTGTCCCACAGTGTCGCTATTCTCATGTATAGTTTCATTCATTTCTGTGCAAGGAAATAAATATGTTGTCAATATCTTGGCCTTCTGAATCAAGAATTGAGTTATTTTAAAACAAACAAAAAAAACCAAGCCAAAACAAAAACAAACACACACCAGAAGAAGTTACATTAAAAAAAGACAAGATCTATTGTCACTTTGGAGGGAAAGCTTAGATAAGATGTTTTAGTCCTTATTCAGGAAAAAATACAAATGAAAGTTTATAGTCTAGTGGAAGATGTCCCTGCCCATGGCAGGGGGGTTGGAACTAGATGATCTTTAAGGACTCTTCCAACCCGAACCATTCTATGATTCTATGAATCTACACATCAGCTCTAACATTCATCTAAGACTTTAATACGCTCAATTTCACAAGCATATGTCAAGATTCCTTCTATAGCTAGTAAGGAGGAGACAAACAAGAGAGCAGTGTTTCTAATCCTAACAATAGGGAGGGAAAAAAACAAACAAAAAAAATCATTAAAACTATCTCAAGTCACTATTTTAAAATAGGTATTATTGGCTTCCAGTATAACAGGGATTCAATTTAAGCTTTTCAACACATCTACAAGGACATAACATTTTATTTTTTTTAATTTAAAAAAAATTATCATATGACTACAGGAGCAAGGGATTTAAGAAAGAAACCTCATGACTATACTTAATACTTTTGGAATCAATTGCACCCATTAACAATACTGGAAGCTTCCCCAGAATAACCTCAGAAGGCAGAGAAAGATCGGGGAGAGACATAGAACAATGAAGAGGCACAGCTCTGCCCTTCCCTAATAATTGTTATGACTAGCTTTATTAAAAAAAAAAATCACAGGATTGAGGCAAGTTTGATAGGTAAGACCCTAAATTTGACTCCAGAGGGAAGACCTGGAGTTAGAGCCTAAATTTAAGTAGTAAATTAGGGGCTTCCCCATCTCTGTACCCACACTTCATCTTCATCCCAATACCTGCAACTTTGCAATGCAACTTAGACACAGCTACTTCCCCAAACTAAGATCCCCTTAAAAAGTTGTCCCCGTTTCATTACCACTCACCTTGCTGTTACCACTCAGGTGAACTAATAGATCAGATAGTCCCATGCACTGCGTACATGCCCCAGGCAGTAACTGCTTAAGAACATACTGACACATCATTACCGCACCACGAAGCTCTACCCTTACCACAGAGCCACTGTAATTTGCACTTACTATGAACCTACTGACAGTAATTAATTGGGAGAAAGGAAGAGGCCCTAAGTATTTACAAGTGACTTGGCCCTTGCATTTACTTAGCCGAATGCTATACTGGGTTAATATAGCCCGTCCCGAGTGATAACACTTTTCTTGGGTTTTTTTCAAGTAAGAGTAGATGGGCATAAGGAACCATAAAACAAGAGCACAAACGAACAAACATTAGAACAAAAACAAAGGTATCTTTAAGAAAAAGTTATAAGCAGCACACATTACATAAAACAGAACGTACACAGTCAGTCCAAAGGCTCAGTTTTATAACAAGAGGGGAGATGAGAATGGCAGCACAACAGGAACAAATTAAGATTGCTAAACATAAAACTAAGACTTCAGGCTTTAAACAGCAGCTTTTTGTCACTCCTCAGATAGAATTATGTATAATAATACTTTGTTGCTAACAGCATGTGGAATGCAGAAAAGCAATCTAGTGACTGATTGCAGTGTATAGCTGCAAACAAATATACTGGATACTTTGATCCCTCTGGAAGCTCTTAACTGATGTTAGAGGACTTGCATGGGAAACTGGAACACTCCTAGCTTTGACTGGCAAAGATCAAAACCCAACAGACACATAATGGTAATAAAAATATTTTTCTTAATATTGTTTTGATGTCAAATATAGACAGAGAAATGACAGGAGTCTCACAATAAGTTATTCCATAGTAGTTGCAAGGTACAGAAATAGGAAGTTGTTCATTAGACTTGTTGATTACCTATTTTTTCATCAAGTTTTTCTTCTACTTGTTCAGCCTCTGTTGTGCAACGATACCCTTTTTTCTTAAGGACATGACAGATGAGGATCCCCAAGAGACCCATGATGAAGAAAACAGGAACCAATGCAAAGGCAATATACTCTAGGTGTTCAGCCTTGCCATCACTGCCATCAGTTTTAGTTGTCAAAGTAGTTGTCTGTAAGTCATAACTTGACAAAACCTGGAGAAACTCTCCATTACCTACGCAAATGAATAAACACAGTTATTACTATACACTGTAAATCACTTCAAAGCATTTAGAAAATTACAAGCATGACCAAACCCCATAGTGTCAATGTGATGTACGTTCTGTGATGACTTGAATGGGCAACACACACTCTACCAGCTGAGAACTCACACCCGTAACAGTAGATATTTCCTCTTCATATAACAATTACAAAACATCTAACATACAAAAAACACACATGATATATCTTCAATATAACAGTGAAGAACAAACAATATTCTAGCCTGACAGGCTTGTAATCTCAACAAGAGGGCTCACATATTTCACAGAAGAGTAACACCACCATTGCTCCTTGTTCCCATCAGTGAGGAAAATGCCATACCATTCCTCCGGTCCCACATCCACGCAAAATTGCTAAAAAAAACGTGAATTCTTCCCTAATGTAAGAGTAAGTACAGGATTTAGTATTGACCCTTGCAAAGAAAAAGTATCAGGTGTGAGAGAAATAGGCTTTTTTTTTTTTTTAACAGTGGGATTTCACAGCACAAAAGAAAGAAAAATTTACCCTCTACTCAGCAGCATATGTGAGCTCATTCTTCGCTTGTTTAAGATTTGGAAACCATTTTGTATTTAAACTCAAAACAGGATGGGAAAGAGGCTTTTTTTTGTTTGCAAAGAATTTAAGTTGCAGCATAGACACACACTAACTCTATACCCACAATTAAGCGATTTTTAATTTAATAGATGTATATTCCATGTTATAGATTGGGCTTTTGAACTACCAAAGGTATAGAATATTTACATAAGAAGGGACCTCTAAAGGTTATTAGTCCAAATGCTGCTAAAACCAGCTCCGATTAGATCAGGTTGCACAGGTAAGCTCCACCTGAAGGATGGACATTCCACAACATTTCTGGGCAACCTGTTCCATTATTTGCTCACTTTTATGGCCAACATACACAGATAAATTAAAATCTCAGTACCTTCTCATATATCAAATATAAAAGTATACACGTTCAATTGTTCAGCTAAATCCAAAAATACATGTTTGCATACTCAAAATTCCTTCTCCGCCTCTACAGTTTATACACACTCCCCACCCAATGTAATAAAAATTTAAATATTACTCTTCCAACATGCAAGAATATTATTGCATTTCTACCCTCTATTCTTCTCCTCCACTTCAGCTGAAAACAAATTTTTTGGCGTAGGAAAGAATGACAACAAAAAGACCAATAAAAAAAATCTAACACTATTTCAAGATACTTTCCATCTACTTGTATTAAAATAGACAAGGCAATTCAGAATCATTCCATTAATGAAACTGGTTGAAGAGTGAAGACTCATCAAAAAACATTTACATGACAGTGAAACAGAAATGTCTAGAACAATCAAATCTCTCCCTTTAAAAAAAAAAAAAAAATAATGGAAGCCTCCAGAAAGTTGCCGGAAGACCATTATTCCACAAACACCTCTACTGCATTGGCTGTATAACCAAGTTGTATTTGAAAAATACCAGTAAGGTGACAGATAGCTAAGAAAAGATTTTTAAAACTGCACTTAGGTATTTACCTTAGTTTTCTTTATATCAAAACACTAAGCCTTTTATTTTTAAAGTATTTCTGAATTTTTCAGGACAGTCTTGAATTGCCAGTTCAGTAGTAAGTAATACACAAGACTTGCTCAAAGTGAAAAAACACTGGAACTTCTTTAAAGTAATAATTGATAAAACCCCAATTAGCAAAAGGAAAAAAAGATGTGTTAAGCATTTCTCTAAACTAATTTTCTAGGCAATAGTAGAAACGTAGAAAAACGGGAAGAAATGCAAACAAACAACGGAACAAATCACAAGGCTAAATGTTAAACCAAAATCTCAGGATGTTTGCTTTGGACAAAGCCAGGTGGTCTAGCTTGCTCCCAAAACCAAAAGAGAAAGCTATTCACTTTTAAGAGAGGCCAGCAATCCCACAGATAATTGTATGCAAAACTTACTAGATAAGTAACCTTTAGAAGCTTTAACTTATGCCTGAGTAGGACGATTGAACAATATATACAATTTAACACTAAGGTTGCAACTGTTTTACACTACAAGGAAACAAAAGACAGGAAAGGATAATGGATACAATCATATAATAAGGAAGTCGATCTTACATACAGTTTATTTGCTTTCTAAGAATTTATAATTCATGTTTTAATATACCAAAATAAAAGGGTGTTTTTTATTATTTTTGCTAACTCATCAGGTAGCCACACCTACAAAGTCCCCCACTTAATCACACAAAGTAGCTTAATTTACTTCCCAGGCAGGAGAAAAGCCATCACACCAGAGAAGTATTATTTTGACGACTACAACACCTCAGAATCTAAGAAAACCAGCTTAAATAGTATACATCACAAGCTCAGAAGGGTATTAATAAATAAGCACCCTTCATGATCAAATATAAGACAAAAATAGGCAGATGCTTTGGATTTTGCTGCACGTTATCCATTCTAAGAATGAATGGGAAAGACTTACTACACTATTTCTAAGACATCAACAGCCACTTACTAGTCAAGCTAACAGGCGGAAGGGCCACAAAATAAATCCAACTCAACTTTTTAAATTTTCTACCTCTCTTTGTGGCAAGAGCGGCATGGATTGCCCAAACAAATAACATCTCTTAGTATTTTCTCCATAACTGTGGCAGACAATTCCTACTTCAAACCTAGAGAGCAACTGGGCCTTATTGCATGGCTATTGCATGCTTCAGACTCGCCAAGTTGTGGTTCATTACAATTTCTCCAAAGAGGTCCTTTCCCCTTCAGTCCTCTGCTACCCCCACTGGCTGTGCTCCTGACAGACTGTAGCCCTGAAAACAGTTTTAAACTGGATTACTGAGATGACCAGGGTTTAAGAAAAAATGCCTCAAAAAGCCTTCAGTTTTTAAGCAGTCATTTTACTGAATCAGTATAACCTGTGGTTTGGTAAACTGCTCTACCAAGACAATCAAGAGACTGAGTAAGCTGAAGTGGGGGAATAAGCAACCGTGAGCAAGGATAGATGAACACATCTAGAACAAGCTTTCCTAAAGTAAGTGTAGTAACATGGACCCATAGTCTCAGAGTATGCTCCAAAAAATAAGGGCAGGATTAAAAACGTGTAAAAAAAAAACAGTATGATGTCCTACATAATTATTTTTAAATCATCAACTTGAAACCCCATCAGCTTGACACAGCCACTGAAAACATACATACAATTTAAAACACAAAGCTGATTCACAAAGCTGCATACAATCAACAAAAGAAAACAATTATACAAAGGAAATAGGAAAATGGATCCCAAATACTATTAATGTTCACAGCAAACAAGAAAAAATTCTATATAAACCTGAGCAAATCAAGTTCACAAGCAACTCCAGTGACAGCTTCATTGCATTTTCAGGACAGATCATTGCTGAGCAATCACTAAATACCATCCCCACCCTCCAAAAAAGCAAACCATCAGAAACTAGTCAGGTTGATATTCCCAGCCTACCTAATATATATCACCGGTACATGCTTGCATGGTAAGAACCATGGCTTGAGTTTCTTTGTTTTCTGTTTCTTTTTCTACCTACATAATCTGTTCTATGATTTAGTTTAGTACTTCTGCTCGTAAACTGCCACCTGAAACACCAATGAGAAAACCTCATCAGCTACAATATAATCTGCAGTCAAAAAGTGATGACAATCTAGACAAATTCTCAAAGGAGAGATGCAACCTATACAAGTTAAAATAAAATAAAAAAAAAAAAAAAGCCAGAACTATGCCTATACTGGCACTTTTTTCCCCCGACAGAAGGATGTTGAAAAACTCAGAATTTATCAACTCAATACTCGGTAGCATAGATTAAATCTCAGTCCAATTAGTGGACTGAAGAGCTTTTGAACTAGGCAGGAAAACATACTTAAAGTATTTTTTTCGATTTAAAAATGCATTAACAAACATAGATATTCCAACATATCAGCCTATATAGATAATCCTATGTGATTTTTCTTCAGTTGTCCTTAGATACCTAAAAATCTAATTCTCCCATTAAAATTCAACAAGATACAAACAACTTTGCAAGGTATTTTGCTTATTGCTATTAAAACATTAAATCAATAATCTTCCTATATAAATACATAATTTACACCAAGTCCATAAACTCCTCGACGCCATTCATTTTATCTTCAGAGATGTAAAAATTCACCAAAAGCAAACCAAAAATATCCCAGAAGAAATTAATTAGCTGGATCAAATACTTGGTGCTGTGTAACCTTATAAGCAGAGCAAAGCGCTCAGCTTTCATTATCAAACACCCTACACATATCAAGAAGTCTGCCCTCAGAAACCTCAGCAGTTAGGACATAATGCAAAAACAAGGCTTGCATAGCTAGTGAGCAATATATTCTATGTCCCAAGTCATAGCTACATCATCCATTGTATGTTCCCTATTCCCCTTCCCCAGAGGCATACTATGCTTATTAACATACTGTTGATAGTCTACCTCATTCTCATGATGTATGATATTGCTTCACAATGGTTTTTAATGACAAGTTCAGGCCATAGCAATCTTCCTTGACTCAAGTCAATTCATGTAGAAATTAATTTGCTTTGGTGTTTTGCTGTCCTAGCATTTTTATATATCTGTCATTGTATACCAGTCTACACATCAAAATTACTTGAAGATGTGATCAAAATAAAAAGACTTAGGAGCAATATTCTGCACGTTTAAAGTGATGCTTAAGCTGTAGATCGCAGATTGCATTCATGCTACTAATTCAGTTCCCATGTACTCTTGTTTGCTTAAAAATGAATATATGTTAGGTATTGAACTTGAATATTGTCTGCCCTTACTTAATCCTTACCTAAAAAGTAAAATATAAGGATAGTCAACCTCAGACAAGTCTTTTACACTGGTTCTAATTATTACTACTCTGACACAAAGATAGTGTTCTTCCATCTCAGTAATGGCTCGAGAAAATTTTACAGCACCCTTA